GTTATATACAGTAGACAGTTATGTCAACGCGGAAAGTTACGAATCGGTTGCCAACCGAACCTTCTTCCTAATGAATCCTCGTCCGTAATAGAAACTGAAAGGCAATCTGTGCCTCCGCTATGGCTCGTCATATTTGGAGGAGGGGGTCAATCCCCTTTTACTCAATTACGTCATCTCTCAGACGGTATTGTAAAGTGTATATACACTTTCCAGCGAGCTGAATCGTTAAACTTAACGGTGATCATCGCGAGAAAAGACCAGAGGAATATTTATTATACGTACAATATCGTAATCGTAAAAATTTTAAACAATTTTTCCTGCGAGAAAATAAATAATGAAAGTGATCTAAATATCTCGTTGGAATTGCATTTCAATGGCTCTCGTTCGAACGTGATTTTTAAGTTCTTTAAGTCGAAGGAGAGAAGATTTTCAAGATTCGTTAACGAGGTGGTTTTAATTGAATAAAAAATTGCTTAAGCAATTTTTTAAGAGGCTGAAAACATTTCAATTTCCTCCAAGTATAAAATAACTTTCAAAGAAACTTAAAGCCAGGAACGTGAAAGTAGAGAGTGTAATTTTTAAAATAATCCCATAAAGATTATTGTACGAGAATTTTTCGAGGAAGTTTACAGCGGTTCAAGGATTGATAACGATTCGATCCAAATAGGAACGACGGTGTGTGTATATAACAGATTAAGAAATCTAGTTCGCGAAATCTATCTGAAACACGAATCAAAGTTCTATCGAAAAATAGATAGAATGTAATAGATATAAATATAATATTTGCATGGTTGAAATAATTACAAGCATTTTCAAACATTGTCAATCATAAATAAATCAATCTTATCTGTTACTCTCTATCTATTTCCATCTTGGAAATATATCAATGAAATATCATTTACCAAGAAATAGCTAGAAAATGAAACAGAATCGAGTATGCAAATATTAATCCTGAATCAAATTTCAATTAACTTTTCTCGATCTATTTTCTATTTTATATCGTAAGCATGAAAAAAATGCTGAAAGAATTCAAAATTATTTACTAATATTCTTCTTAATAAACCCATTAAATAGACCCATTGTGCAAAAAACGTGTTCTTCCAATAACAATACGGAGAAATAGCAATCAGAAAAGAACCTTGACACAGAAATTTAACTTAAAAAAGCATATAACATGTAAGATTTAATATTATCCGTATTCTTACGAAAGAACTAAATAATTGAACTCGAGCTAAACTTAGGCTCCGATATTTCTCAAGTGTGTTATACACTTGTTACTATAAGTTCACTATAACCTTGTATATTGCATGTTGATACGATTGCGTCGATATTGTATAATGGAAAATAGAAAAGGTAAAATTCAAACGAAATAAATTATTATTTACCAATACCGTCCTCCGCTACTTTCCATCGATAATCACCGTACAACATTTATTTGACCCCCTTTTTCCAGTCATCTCGACACGACATTCCCGTTAGAAAGGTTTCAGACCTGTTCTTCGACCCGGCTACCATTTTATGGAAATCTATGTACATTAAAGACAGACACTCGTTAACCCAGCAATCCAGAATTCGCAGACACGACCGGTTATTTTTACAGACGGCCCATCCACGACACCATCGACGTAATTTCCCTCCTCCGTTGCGTAATTTCGTTCCCTCGAATAAAAGGGGGACCTTCGTCTTCGCCTTTTATCCGCCATATTGTCGTGTCCGCGACACGAACCGAGGAAAATAAGTTTTTTAAGAAAAACAGATGAAAATGTAAAATGTAAATATTTCTTCGATTTCCAGCATGGAATTTCAAATATATTTTCGACATTGTACACGATGTTATTTCGAAATTATATGAATAAATAAATGAATAATATTTATTATATATCCTGTGATTTTTAAACGAAATAATATTTCAGTTTCTTAATTAATTGTTATTACAATTTTTATACATATTACGTATAATAATGTTTCGATTATTTTCGTATTTCCTCGCATATGTGGATACGATATACGATAAGTGATACGTTAATTAAAATAAAGAGAATGTATTAATCTTTTCTACGGACTCGTCAAAAAAAAAAAAAAAAGAAAGAAAGAAAGAAAGAAAATGAAAAACAACGTAATA